TTCGTGCACTGGGCCTCTAGTAGTATATAGTAAACCCTCGATTTTGTGGACCTCAATTTAGCAGACTTCAGACTGAATGGACAAAATTTCTGGTCCATATGTCATATGTGAAAATAACCACCCTGTTAATTTTAAAATGCTTTTAACCAAGATTTGTTTATAATTAAATTAAGAAGTTATTTTTTGTTGTTATAAATTCACTGTTATTTTAAACAAATTTTAACCAATAGGGCATATGTTGGAAAAAAACACTAATTTCACCGCCATATATAAATATTACATATCTATAACTATAGTCTATTTTAAATCCAATAGTGACTGTTCGTAAACAATGTTCTTTGAATGATTAGCACGTGATCACAAAGCATCTCATTCGGTAATTGGTTCTGTTGTTGAGTGGCATGACTTTCTGCAGCAGTTTTTTAAAAATATATTTTCATTGATTTCAGAGAGGAAGGGAGAGGGAGAGAGAGAGAGAAACATCAGTGATGAGAGAGAATCATTGATCAGCTGTCTCCTGCACGTCCCCTACTGGGGTTTGAGTCTGCAACCTGGACATGTGCCCTTGACTGGAATTGAACCCGGCACCCTTCAGTCGCAGGCCAACGCTGTATCCACTGAGCCAAACCAGATAGGGCCTGCAGCAGTTTTAATGTGTGCTAGCCTATGTTCCGACATGTGCTAAGACACGCCCTAGCCATGTGCATTTGTTTGTTGGCGGTGACTGGTGAATGCACACATTTACTAGACCTATTCAGTATAAATTTAAAATAGCAGTAACACATATAAAAAACTTTTCTGTGAAATTAAACTTTTTATACATACTTAATTTTAATTACACAAACATGTCTATATAAGTAAAAACAGGTAAACTACTTTGTCAATTTTTGTAACACATGCATTCGGAAATTACAAACTAATTGGGATATAACACTTTTGTCCATTCACTAAATGTCATTCAACAGTATTAATTGTTCATAATAGTCCCTCCCCACTACAGTTCAAATCTAATGATATACATCAAAGATTGTCAAACAGGCCAAGCCAGTGTGGCTCAGTGGTTGAGTGTCGACTCATGAACCAGAAGGTCACAGTTCGATTTCCAGTAGGGCACATGCCTAGGTTGTGGGCTCCATCCCCAGAAGGAGTTGTGCAGGAGTTAGCCAATCAATGATTCTCTCTCATCATTGATATTTCTATCTCGCTCTCCTCCCTTTCTCTCTCTGAAATCAATTTTTTTTAAAAAAGATTATCAAGCAGTACAAGAATGAATCTATGTATGGTTATTTAAAATTGAAAGCAATACCAAGGACATTACAGAGAAAATAATATATTTACATTTTTAGCACACAACTGCATAAAAAAATTGAACTCTTTTCTAATTGTTCTTGAAATGTACACTATATTCTCTAGCAATTATATTGAAAATGACTAAAGTTTTGAAGTATTCTAAGTTACTTGACTTAGCTTCCAAGGCCTTTGCAATTGCAGTAGCACTTAAAAATGTATTTTTATTAAATTTGTTGGTATTGATATATCTGCACATTGACCATATATTTTCCCTTACATCTTATTAAATATTGCAGGAAATCTTCCAAAGGTAAAAGAAGATTGTGGAATCTCCATATATTTGGGAATTTTTTCTTTGCATTGTATTTAAATGATTGTGTTTATGTTAATGGGGTGAACTCTGCTATTGAAATCCACCCTTTGCTGAGGTTTTATACTTTTTGCATTACAGTTGATGGAAATACCTGGGCACAAGTAATTGCCTTATACCCAACTTTAGTAGAATGCATCACCTGCTCATCTTCAGAAGTCTGCTCTGCACTTAAAGAGGCACTAGTTCCCTTTAAGGATTTCATGCAGCCACCAGCATCCAAAGTTCAAAATGGAGAATCTTGACCAGCTACAATAAATTTAAAGAAGAAAGATATCTAAAGAATGTCTGCTCCTCAGTGAGTCTTCTATTAGAAGACATTTCTTACTACAAATAATTCTTGGCAGCTGTTGTTGGCCTTCTTTAAATTGTACTTACCTGAGTTCAGTAGTTCTTATTACAAGCTTACACGTCAGCAAAGGCTCCTGAATGAGTATCAGTGCAAGCCTTTAATAATTAAACTGATTAGAGAGATGGTTAATACTACAGCATACCTGCTACCATATCTTCAACTGGTGATTTAAAAGTGAGCTTATGTACAGTTTGTGATGTATGTGTTAATGATGTACTTTTTAAAAAGAAAGAAAAGATATTTCATTCAGTCAGATTTATTAGGCTGGTGTTTTTGCGCCCTTTTTCAAGTACAAAAGTGTACTAAAATTTTATGCAAGATGGTACTGTAACATTCCATATTATCTATAACCAGCCTTTGTAAACAAAAGGAACTGATATACTTGTGTGTATAATAAATGGTTACAGTTCTGTATAAAATAGTTGCATTTATTATTTAAAAGTTTTAAATACTGCTAATGTTAAATGCTTGATGCTGTATTTATTATAAATATAAAATTGTTTGCTTACCTTTTTACTTATAATTTGCCTTCTTAAGCGGCAGATACACTCCCCATATAATCATGAAGTTAGCTTAATGATTATTTTAAATGCAGTTGCTAGTCACTATTAAATGTCTGGCCAGAAAGGTCATGTGAACACAGCTGAAAATAGTTTATGATTTGCTTATTTTGCAACTCTGAAGTATAGGTTATTAACTTAATACATTGAGATATATTGTAGCACTATGACTCCATCATACCTCATTTCTTTAAATGTCTTTTCCAGCTTTCACATAAGTATGTCTGTTTTTATATTTGCTGTCTGGATTTTAAAGACTTTGATATTTTATATTTCTACTGATTCTCCTCCCCCCTCCCTCACTCCCTCACTGAGTAACAATATTTATCACCGACTGAATTGTGACCCAGGCAAAATGATTTCAGATTTCCTAAAATTTTGCCTGTAAGGTTTTGTTCATTTCAGTGCTTCCTTTTGTAATGTCGTCTCAAGAAGCAAAATAACTATGCTGACCCACAAATATAAAATGTGTGTGTATTCTGAAACAATGAGAAATGTATTTTTGGAGATAGAGAAGCATTTAGAAGTGCAGTAAACTTTCTGTCATGGAGAAAATGCTAATTTTGTTTCACTTTCCTCTGCTAGTGAAGAAATGCTCCTGAGTACATTAACTTAACTGTTCCTTAAAAAATGGACTGACCTAGCTTACTGTGTTTTTTTATTTTATGGATTATGCTATTATATTTTTCTTTTGAATTAAATTTTCATAATTTATGTGAAGACTCAAGGATGTTTAAAACAATTATTTTTCATAAGAAATCATAATTGTCTCAGTATTATTTTAGTGTCCTGGAAGGCCTTTGATTTTAATAGAATTTATGCCTCTCCAGCATACTTATAAAATGACAAGAAGATATTAGAATTAAGTAATGAACAAGATAAAATTGTGAGGCTATTGTAATTGTATAATTACTTAATTTGCACTATTATCTGTAAACAAGTGGTTAGATTTTTTTTAAGGGATAGTATTTTTTTACATGAATTAATGAATTTCTACTTTATAATTACAAGTAAAATTAAGGTAAAATATGGCATTTTCTAGATTCTATCTTCAGCATTTGTCTTAAAGAAAGTTGTAAAAATTAATTGCTCAAGCTGTGTATTTAGTTTACTTTCTATATTTGGATATGTCAAATTGGGTATTAAAAATCTGCATTATCACTGATAAAGCATTGAAATAGAATAATAAGAGTAGTGTACAGGTTCAGTAACATGTTTAAAATATTGCCAAGAATTTACATGAAGTAAAAATGCATCTATTCTTGAGAAATAACAGATCAATTGCAATTAGAATTATCCTCTTTGAAAGTTAAATATGAGTCAGAGGTATATACATATATTTATATGAACTGACGAAATTCGTGCACGGGGTGGGGTGGGGGGGGTGTCCCTCAGCCTGGCCTGCACCCTTTCACAATCAGGGACCCCTTGGGGGATGTCTGACTGCCAGTTTAGTCTCAATCCTGCAGGATTGGGCCTAAACTGGCAGTAGATTATCCCTCTCACAATCCGGGACTACTGGCTCCTAACGGCTTGCCTGCCTGATCGTCCCAAACCACTCTGCCTGCCTGCCTCATTGCCCCTAACCACTCGCCTGCCTGCCTGGTCGCTCCTAACTGCTCACCTGCCTGCCTGATCGCCCCTAACTGCCTCTGCCTCGGCCCTCGCTGCCCCGGCTTTATTCAGAAGGACGTCCAGAATGATGTCCGGAAGATAGTTCGGCTGTCTGGTCTAATTAGGATATTACGCTTTTATTACTTTAGATTGGTTTTACTAATATTGTATTAGCTTTCAATACCAGGACCATACCCTACTGTCAAAACACAAATTTGGTGAATGTGTAAATACCATATAATATAGTGATCAGTGGCCATCTTAGTGTCAGGCAAGCTGGGCCACCCCCCTTGGTGGTATAATTTGACAGGTTTTTCCTCACAGAATATCTCTCACCACTCCCAGGAGTCACTATTAGTAATTCATTCCCTTGAGTCAAGCTACTTCTAGGCTAAAATACCTGATTCCTGGAAGGTTAACCCTTGTCTTACTGGTATGAATTGGGTTCTTCAGTGACTAGAAGAACTGGGCTATGTGAGATTACTACATGCTAGGAGATTCAAAAAGGAAGTTGCCAAAGCTAAGATCATTTTGTATGACATTTAAGACTATGATTAGTCCATGAAACAGTAGTAAAAATGTCCTTTGGGATACATATTATAATTACAATGAGGTTTTTAAAAAATATATTTTATTGATTTTTTACAGAGAGGAAGGGAGAGGGATAGAGAGTTAGAAACATCCATGAGAGAGAAACATCGATCAGCTGCCTCCTGCACACCCCCTACTCGGTATGTGCCCGCAGCCAAGGTACATGCCCTTGACCGGAATCGAACCTGGGACCCTTCAGTCCACAGGCCGATGCTCTATCCACTGAGCCAAACCGGCCAGGGCTACAATGAGTTTTAAGTCTCACATAATCACTTTTTGTCACTGACAGTACCTTTTTTTGTTGTTTTTTTGTTCATCCTAACCCAAGAATATTTTTCCATTGATTTTTAGAGCGAGTGGAAGGGAGGGGAAGAGATAGAGAGAAACATTGATGTGAGAGATACACATCAATTGGTTGCCTTCTGCACACACCCCAACCAGGGCCAGGGATCAAGCCTGCAACCGAGGTACATGCCCTTGACCAGAATCGTTCCTTCAGTCCCAGGGATGACAATCTATCCACTGAGCCAAACCAGCTAGGACAGTGCCTTATATATAGATTGCTGGACAACAGACATCTAACATTTGGATTAAAATCTTTTTCTGACGTTTTTCCATTATAAAAAAAAAATTAATTTTAACTTGGAATAGTTTACTTTTTAGTTTCCTATAATGCCGCCACTGCCAAAGAACAGGTCATTTTGTAGTGTCTTATTTTGTACTCCTTTATAACTAGTGATAACTAAAAGTTTTGTTAATTTTACTGTATATACATTTGTAACATTTACTTATTAGGAGCTTGTAGGTGCCAAAAAAAAAAAATGCATGAAAGTCTGCCTTAGAGAGACCCACTTTTTACTTGATTTCATTTTTAATTTTATTAACAACTATATTATTTCTTATCTGTTTTTCCCCTATATGATTATTGATTCAACTCTTGCTATATTCCTTAAATTATGTTACACTAGAAGGAAGAGGTGAACAATTAAACATATATATTTTATTCTGAAGAATAGCATATACTTAATATTATAATAGGTTATTCGTCCTTTCTCAATATAACTTGAAAGTATTTTGTTCATTGTCACAATTTGGAATCACTGGTCCCAGGCAACCATTTGGCCGAAGGGTCCGTTGAGAAACAGAATAAAAGAGCTTAAATTATTGAAGTGTTAGCAAACAACTCAAAAGTATTAATAAGGTTGTCATTATTACACTCATGTTAATGAAAGACAGTGTAGTTATATAATGACATAAATTCTTCTCAAATGTAGAATAATTAAGATGGGCAACCAGATCCTCGAAAAAGACTGCTGTAGGTGAAGCCTGTCTGTCGAAGGCAGAATACTTTCAGGAACTCACCTGCCTGTGATTGCTATAGATATTAATAGTGGAGATTTAGAAGCCCTGGAATGAATTGATGTCCAGGCCAAGAATATTGTGAACTTCTGGTTTTTAATAGAAAATGACCACAAATGTGGACAAAAATGGTCTCCTGAAAGCATTGCCAGCAGCCTAGTATGTTCTTTAGATTTATGCTTAATGCATTTGACATTTTGGCAGATATGCTGCTCTTGTGTATAGTGCCAGCCTTTAACTATGTTTAGAGTTGTTGGGTTGCATTTATCTACATTTTTAGAGTGAATTTTGCTTTTTTATTTAAATTACCATTCATAGAATGAATGAGTGGGAGTTTATAACATATGGTGTGTTACCAATTTATATATTATGGGAAAGCAGTTTTTAATACTTCAGAAACCTTTAATTAAAATTTTTGTATCCTGGCAAGTAAACTAGTGCTTTCAAATTGAATGAAAAGTATTTCTAGATTGGGAAGGAAACTTTATCGGTTTCTTAATTTATATAAAAACTATTTCAGAGAAGTTAAATATCCATGTTTACATGTTTATATCTAGTAAGTTTGAATGCACTGGTAGTGTTGGCTGTTTTTAAAGGAGCATGCAGTCATTCCTTTGGTGAATATAAATATTCTTACTAATCTTGACTGTGAGGCAGCAAGGAACAGAGACTGCCTCTTATTTAACGCTAGGCATGTTAACTTTTCAAAGCCTTTGTTTTCTAATCTTTAAAACAGATGACAATGGGTTCTCATTAATTCTTTAGAGAAAAAATACACAGTTTGAATTTAGAGGTTTTTTTACAACATTATTAAGGTAGTTATCTTCAAGTTATTTGATACATTTATTACTATATCCTAATTGAGACCTTTGACTATATATTTTTCTTCCCCTTTCTCCTGCATCAGTTTCTTCCCTTCTCTATCCTATTTATTTATTTATGTATGTATGTATGTATGTATGTATGTATGTAAGTTTATTGATTTCTAGAGAGAGGAAGGGAGAAGAGAAACATTGATATGAGAGCATAACATTGATCTGCTGCCTCCTGCACACCCCCTACTGGGCATCAAACCCACAACCCAGGCATGTGCCCTGACTGGGAATCGAACTGGCAGTCCTTCGGTGAATGGGATAACACCCAACCAACTGGACCACACTGACCAGAGTCAAGTTAAAATAATTTGTGACTAGAGCTCCTACTATCTTTCTGAATCCACAGGATTCAGTAGTGAGGATGCCCACAAAATGGGATGCTATAAGTATGAATTCAGCAGCTAAACTTGGAATAATCATGTCTTTTCTGTTATGTGGCTTGAGAGATCATAGCACTTTTCTCAAAAAGGAAATGAGCTTACATTAAGTTTTTCCCCCTTTTGTTTGTTTTTGCAGG